GCCTTGATCGCGTTTCTCTGTTCCTCTTTTAAAATTAATTTGCTGTCGATATCTTCTAGAACAGACCTAATAGCAGAATCTACACACCTCAACTCTCCAGCAGCAGCCATTGTTGTTGTCACCCAAGCATGCTTTGGTGACGTGGTTGATTACGTTACTGTTGATCATCTGTCCATCATCTGATAAAGGCCGCCCTGACAATTTGATTGGCCTGCCAGATATTGTGCGAGCATACTCCCGACCTCAAACGTTGTGGGCGGGACTAAGTTCGGAATGGCACCCAGGCTAAGGTTTATGGGCACTAGGACATGAAAAAGAAAATTAATTAATTAATTAATTGTCAGCTATAATAACTTTAAATGATTTGTATAAATACAAACCAAGACCACTTTAAAAAAAAAACTGATTATTTTTGCTCTGTGAGATGAACTCTTCAAACTGTTTTTTTAAAACATGTTCATTCCAACATTTCTGCAAACAGTGCTTGAACATCTACAATAATGGGATAACCTAAATTGATTCCCTAAGAACAATCAAACCCATAGAGTTGTCTTTTAAAAGATATGTTTTAATTCAGTGCTATTTAATGATAATTAATATTTCAAATCCCAGCAGTTATTAAATATTTTTCTCTATTTGCTGGAATATGCAGCCATTAATACACATTGTGTTTGTCATGTACTATGCCTATAAAAAAAACCAAATATATTCATCTTAAAATAAAGCCATATACAGAAAGCTTTTCTCCTGGTAGTATGTGCTTAGTCCTTTTTGGGAATGAAAAGAATTTTTGCACCAAGCCCCATCGTTGTAGACTGTTGCCATCTGCTGGCATTACATATGCATTCAACAACATGGCAGTTTCTCATCTCCTGCTTCAAGCAAACACAAACATTCACAATTTATTCTCAGCACTACTTGTCTTATCCCACTTGGCCTTGAAGATTTTTTCAGATTTTTGCTTAACTGACCTTAAACTTTTACGAAAAATTACCTAGAAATAAAAAAGTAAAGACTGGTGATCTCTTTTTTAACTATAGTTTTACTAAACAGAGTCTTCCCAATTCAGAGCCAATATTGTATGATCAATAGAAGGCTGGGATACATTCCTCTGGTTGCTCTTGTCAGGTTGCCTGGTTTGATCGTTGGTAAATACATGCTGTTTGAGCCTTTGCCCTCATTGGCCGTCATCCTTGACCCCCCCGTACCAATCTTTTTAACCCCTGCCCTTGAAAGCGTCTGTGCATGTCACTGCTTAAATGCATTGAGAGTGGTTGTTATGGTTGTCAAACTGAGAACAAAACACTGCTTGGATAATAAAAGTGCCTTTGGCGAGTCCATACCAGTGCAGGCTGGAGGAAAAGGGATGATCAGTTAATAAGAGGATGTGTAAAAACAGTTACTTTTTTGGTAAGATTCTATATAAATTGAAATCTAACTACTTAATTTAAAAGATATTTTTCCTGAATTGGTCCTTCAACTACCTTAAGATTAACAGATACAATATGTGAATCACTTCCTACCAAAACAATGTATGTTAATGTATAGTGTTTTCAGGATGTGCTCATAAAATAGTTGTAACCTAGAGAGCGTCAATCCCCTGAGCTGATCATCTTAGATTTAAGACTATAATCCAGACGTCTCCCTTCTTCAGGTTCCTGACTACCCACAAAGGAGACAAAGTCTGCTCAGCCCAACTGTTTACATTTGTTCATCAATCCTTTTACCTCCATTAAAGGCTCAGGTGATGACACTGATCTGCCGTCCTCAGTAATCTCCGTCGGGCTCAAATAATACGTTCAAAGTGAATCAGAATGAGGACACATGACGGACAGACAGAGCTTCTAAGGGCTACACTGTTATCTGGGATAAGATAATGAGAGGGTGGGGTCAAAAATCTTAATTTATCTTGATACTATAAACCCTTATATTGAGGGATCTTAGACCCATTTCAGTTTAAATGGCATTAACTTCTATCTGAACAACACCTCCTTTGAGTAAGTTTATACTTGATTTTTGCTCAACATTTTTCCAGTGTACCATGGTTTATGCCCTAAAACACAGATACTTATAACCATCTCTCCTCCACAGAAGACTTTGAGGGAGAACTAGGAACACACCAAGCCATTTGCCTATAGTCACCCAAGCTTCATTCCTTCCCCTTTTCCCCCACATGGCAGACAAGATGCAAAATCTGTCAGTGACATTATGTAGCAAGCCAGCACCCCGTCTCAATTTTCTTTCAAATTTTCTTTTAGATATCTTTTTTGAAATCTCTATAGATGCATGTGTTATTAAATAAGAAGAGCAACAGGACCAAATAACATTTCAAACTTAGACCACTGGGGAGTTCTGTTTTCAGAAGATGGCTTAGGGCTCCTAGGCACCCGTGGGCAACACTTTGGCACCCCTTTAAAGTCCCCTTAGCAACTTGAAGGAAAAAGTACCAACAAAAGAAAAATATATTATTATTTTGATTTAATTTCACAACTATTAAATACTGTAAAAATGGGTATTCTAATTCAAATACTAAAGTTATTCTGAAAATTAATCAAAAACAAGGGCAAAAGAAATGCCGTAAACCTAAACATCTGGTAAAGTTTTAGACATTTATTTTAATATATCCAAATTCAATAAGCACCTTAATAATATTCAAAGATTGTATCAAGGTAATTTGACATACTAACATAATGATATTTACTAAGCCCCTGGTTTGCTTTTTGGAGTGCATGGTGGAAGTGCCTATGCTTCTCAAATAAGCATTTTGTTTTTTGTTACACATTTTATATGTTTGTAAAAGCTGCATGCATAACTGATCGCTGGATTCCATGCATTTTTATAAAGCAAGTAGTTAAATCCCTTTAACTCAATGAGTTAGAGCAGGAGTCGGCAATCCGTGACTCCAGAGCCAATTGCAACTCTTTAGCACCCCCCTTGAGGCTCCCTGGAGCTTTTTCATAAATGTATGAAAAATAGATTTTTTTGGTTTGTTTATTTTAATATGGTGTGTGGGAGCTCAAACAGACGGTAGTAATGTTTCCCAATGCTGTAAACATTTGTATAATAAATACATTTAAACAATATATGTAAACATTTATTTCAGCGGAAATGTGTGTCATAGATATCAGTGGTCAAAGCCTGCAACACGTCTCAGCGCAGCACGGTGCCAGGCAAAGAAATCCAATAATTTTATCCCAAAGGGATAAAAAGGAAGATACCTGATGAAAACAGGGGATTCAAAGAAGAATGGACCAAATCATTTGCTTTCCTTATCAATGCGGAAGGATTGCCACCATTTTTGCTTTGGCATGAACATTTTTCAAATAATAAAAACAGTCATTTAGAAAGGCATTTCCAGGGAAGGCTAAATTTGCAGCCGATCACAATGTTGTTTGTGAGAGAAAGAATGCGATTGCAGAACTTCTGGATAAATTAGAGGAGAGCAAAGATAGATTTAAGAAGTGGATTGCATATCCAAACTCCACTACTGCTGCTAGTTTTGTTTCAAGCAGGAAAAAAAAAACGTCAACAGCTCAGACAGGTAGCCCGTTGATGCAGGTATGTGAACTTTCTTCCTTTTTTTCCCCAAATCCTAAAAACATAAATCACACCAAGGAACGCTGCATGGTGACGGATGCATGTGTGATTTCGGGGTTAGAGAGCTCTGCTCTGATGGATGTCATTTCCTGCTTGGTTCCACATGACTCAATCAACTCCTCCCAACAGAAACACGTCCACCATAGAAAGATTCCTTTATCTTGTTTCTATCATTTTACCAATGCAACAAAATTTAACCCGCGCAATGGGAGCGTTCACTGCCCTTCCCTCTCCTCATGCTACTATGTGACATTTGCTCCAGGACTAACATTTAATCATGGATGCTTATTATATATTTAGGCCCACATAGTCCTTTTCTATAGTAGGATAATACACATAGAACCCATGTTGCCATACGAGGTTTATAGAAGACTTGTATATTTTTGCGGCTCCAGAGAGATTTGTTTTATGTTTTTGTTTTTTTTTTGGTCCAATATGGCTCTTTGAGCAGTTTGGGTTGCTGACCCCTGAGTTAGAGGGTTGACCTCTCTTGGATTGCCAACAGTATTTGTCAAAATAATAGCCTGCTTTATACTTTAAAAGTTTTTTGGTATAAGTTACAAAATGGCAAAGAAACTTTTCACAGGGATAGAGTTTGCAAAATGTTTACCATTTGGAGTATTTTTAGCATAGCATAGATCAGTAAAGAAAGCATATGCTGGTTCATGTGTGGCTGTAATAATCTCTCCTATCATTGTTGTGTGTGCAGAGCCGGGGGCTGCTGGTGGTGGATCCCTGTAGTAGGACCCATGGTTGGTGGAGCTGTTGGTGCTGGGATTTACTTCCTCCTCATTGATTTGCACCAACCGGAGCCTCAGAAACAGGAAAACAACATTCGGGACAAATATGAAAGCATTACTCTGACTTAAAGTAAAGAATCTAAACAAAAATGCATTAAGATTCCAAAAAAAATGAAAATTTTAAACAATCCATTGGACTTTGTTGTCAAGTTTGAAGACCGTTCGCTTTCCATCCAAAAAAATTAATTAGGAAAATCTGAAAAGATATACCTTTTCAATAAAGCCATTTGAATAAATTCATATCCCAGTCAGTCCTGATTTTCAATGGATTCTTCAAGTTGCTGCAGTATTTTTGATGACAAACAATCAAACAACACAGGATTCAGTATTAAAATGTGACCGTTTATTATGGAAATTTGTTTCTGTGCATTTTTTATTTAATAACTTTCAAGGGTAGGAGAGACTTTACTTTTTTTACTTTGTATTTTTCATGCACATTAAAGGTACTTGTTTGTTGCTTTATTAGGTCTGAAATCGTGCTGCTTTTATTTTAAGTCAGCCGTAAATACAAATAGTACCGTAATAACTATTTTTCCAGATATTTTTGGGGGGGTTACTTCTTAAAACTAGGGTACATCTCTCATTTAGGAAAATGTTTGGTGTTCAGTCAAAACTGTTTCACAGTGTTAAAAACAATTACAGCTCAGGACATTTAAGCCTTCGTTGGATTAAAGGATAATTTCGGGCTATTTTTGTTTGTACAGATGTAGCGGTTTAAAAGTTCCCCTTTAGGCCAAAAGACAGCCGAATGGCCTCTGGTTTTTGCCAACTTCCCTCCAAATTCCAGCCGCTGGAGTAGCTCCCCTCTTTCTGCTGCGAGTGTCAATGTTCACTGTAATTCCAGCCATTTATTGAAATATAGGGTATTTCAGGGATACAATCTGGCTGCTAGGGGTATTGCCTGACTGACAGCATCATCACAGGGGATTTACCCTCACGGATCTGCTGGGTACCAGCAAAGAACCTGCCAAGGATGAGTCAAAGACCTATCATGGGGAATTTTTTAACCGCTACTACTGTAAAATCTAAAATTATAGCCTGGCCAGCTGGACTGATACGACGTATAGATGGTGTGTCAGTCTGGTAAAGGGCTTATAAAGCTTGATTAGAGTGGCTGGACTAACAGGGTCAGCCCCATCATGTTAGAACCATTCAGATAACTACAGATGTGATTCAAAACCTACAAGGGACACATTAGGTTTTTGTAATTTCATAGTCTGTAAAACATATCAAGCTGTCAAAGAATTTCTCCATTGAATGATTTTCTGCCAATTGAACCTAAATAATCTGAGCATATAAGGTCTGCTTTACTTTTTATTGCATTTACTATGTTGCGGCCGCCAGCTTTTTGTTATGCTAGCAGACATGCGCTGCTGCCTTATGGGTAATTCTGCCACTGAGTCATGCAACGTAAAGTCCAACCTCCCTTGCTGTGATTGGTCCGGCCAAATCCAGAATGAATGACGCTTTGTGTAATTCAGTCTGGCTGGTCAGGCTACTAAAATGTAACAATAACAAAAGAAGCAATACTGCGTGGAAGAGCAAAAATGTGAAACAATTAATCCCAATAAATGTGTTTGTAAGTTTTGAATTTAATCTTGGGCGAAAGCTAAAAAAAAGAAGATGCTGTGACAAAAACTTCAAGTGAGTATTTGTCTATGTATGAATTCCTCTGTTATGAGCTTTTACTGTAGGATACTGATTTTACAGCAGCCCCAGTTGTTGTTTTATTAAACTTTCAGCATTAATCAGCAGCATTTATTCCTAGAGTTTGTTTTGAAATTGTTTGTTAATTGATAATAAGTACACCAGTGTAAAGATGTTTTGATTGTAGGAATTAAAGTAATATGTTTTTTTTCTGATCAATAAGCAAAGGGAAATCACAAAATATATTATTTATCCCTTTTTTTGTAAGTTAAAGTACACAAATAGATCTGGAATAGATTTCTTTTCTGTCTATTTCTGTGGATATTATGGATTTACCTGACTTAAACATTTATAATGTTGACATTATTTGCTAACTTTTTGCATGGCTTAGATTTTGTTTTAGAAAACTGAACTGGATTTAATACCAGGTTCACTTTATTGTCTAAAAAGCATGGATTATATAGTCTAGGAAAAACAGATGCCATTTGTTGTAAAACACAAGAATTTGACATGTTAAACGTATGTATTGTAGATCTGTGCAAATAAAAGTTATTTTTCCACTTCCATATGCTTTTGTTGTCTTGTTAAATATAAGAATAGAATATGAAAAAATGAAGTCAAAATACTTCAGTACTTCATGGGCTGACAATCTTCCAGGGTGTACCCGCCTTTCACTCTTAGATTGCTGGAAATAAGCCACCATGAAGACATGCAGAAGAAGAAGGATGGATATATGAAAGTCAAAATAGTCGAGGAAACTTTAAAGAAATAACGTTCAGCTATTTTTTTAGACCCATTTAAAAAGCTGTAAAAACATAACTTCACTGTACACCTATTCCCAGCACAGGTTTCCTCAATGATTTCATACTTTTGAAGATTCATATACTATCTTATGGTGTTCAAATTTACATTTTCTGGTTTAAACCTTAAAAAGAAAAGTTCTATGAGTTTATTTGGGAGTGATAAGCCTTGATCTTTTGGCTCAGTGCATGCATTAATTCTAGAATAAATGTTTCATTACCATTTGTCGGTACAAGCAGATCTAGTAGAGAGGCCTGGAAGACAAAGGGCCTGATCTTCAACAGATTTGCATGTCAAATAACAGGTGCAAACTGGTTTGTACGTGCAGAGCAGATCTTTAAAGATGGTGCAAAGGGATTTGATTTCACAATTCATCAGGAAGCAAGCACAAGCCGTTCTTTTGCGTGGGCAGATCATATTCCAATTATCAAATTACACAAATTAATGGGTAGAGGATATGCAAATGGTTATTTGCAAATGCAACTGTGACCAAGTGTTAAGTGATTTTCTAAATTGGAAACCTATTTGCGGCTACAGTTTTTGTTTCTTTTTGGTGAACGCAAACTGGTTTGCATTTGCGCAGCATCTTTGTATATCACCCACAATATGCCGACTTATTGCACATACAAAGAAAAAAAAAGATTGGTCCAATGCAGTTTAGCACCTTTTATTTAGAATATTTGACGATCAGAACCACCTTCAGAACAAGCAGCTCTGCTTTAAACCAGAGGGGGGCAGCAGTGATACCCTCAAGTAGACTAGTCTAACGAAACATTTTAATTATAGGTGTAATTAACCCTGAACTGATCACAACAATAGAAAAATTATTAAAATTCCAACACTAAAATAGTAAATACACAATTTATGCTCTTTTTAGAACGAGTTGTGTGGTTTGGGCGAAAAGGGAAAAATTTTTCTCTGAAAGAATTCCAGGAGTTTTTATTTAACTAAAGATAAAGAACAACTGCCTCACTCATCCTAAATGTAATTATACAGAAAAATGAATTATTACTTTAAATCGAATATAGGTATACATGTGTGTACACATTTATTAGGAAGGGCTATAGAAAATTCTGATCTTCTGTGATTTATTTGGAAAACATGTATTTTTTCCCCTATGTCAAAGTCTAATTTCTTAGACTTAGAGACTTAGAAAACATTTATTGTCATTTTGTATACACAAAGTGTATACAAAACAACATTTTGCTTTGTAGATCTCTCATGCATGTCCATTTTCTTAAAGTGCAGCAGTGAACAAATGTAAACATTGTGAGAGAAAAGACATGGTCCAAAAAATGCAATGACATGGTCAGTTTGATGCTGGATCTGTGACATGATTTAGAGTTTTGTCAACAATTTAGCTGTCTGATGGCAGTGGAGAAGAAGCTGTTTTGGAATCTGCTGGACCTGCATCCAATGTTTCGAAGCCTCTTCCCAGAGGGCAGCAGGGAGAACAGTCCATGGTGGGGGTGTGAGGGGTCATTGATAATGTTATGGGCTCGGGACACGCAGCGCTGGGATAAAATATCTTTAATAGAGGGAAGAGGAGCCCCGATGTTCTTCTCTGCTCTTCTCACCACTCTCCTCACCTTCTTCCAATCTGCGGCGCTGCAACCTCCACACCACACAGTGAGACAACTGGTCAGAATGCTCTCTATGGTGCTTCTGTAGAGGTTCGTGAGGATGGGTGAGGTGGGATCTCCACATCCTCTGCAGGAAGTACAAGTGCTTTTGTGCCCCAGTGTGATTAGTTTAGATCAGAGGTTCCCGAACTATTTGGGTATTTATTGGAATACAAATATTTCTTATAGATATGATCCATTGGTGTAGCACTAATAAAAACAGCATCAAAAGCTATTGTAATTGGTCTTGTGTATTTCTAAGTGATGCTTTTTGTCTTTAAACATATATAAATGCCTTGTCGTTATTTTTGGTGTAGTTTCTGTAGAGGATCTTAAAACATGATACTTGTTAACAAGAAACCACAAATAGGCTCAACACCACAATTTCTAGAGTCACTGTTGTAGATCAACCCTGAACTGATTTTGTAACCTTTTTTCAGCCAACCTTTGATGCAAATTGATCCCTGCCTGGCCAGCTCTCTGACATTTTTCTGACATTCCAGTCACTGACCTGTGTTTTCTACCTCGCAGTGAATCCAGTTACCCGCCCCGATGCCGATCACCTGCCCCGCTGGGTTATTTGTTCTAAATAAAGCTTGTTGAAATGTCTGAACATTGGGTCAGAGTTTCTGAGATGTTTACAGTAGCTTTTATTACGCCTATAGGAGAAACACCTTAAGTCACATGTTCATGTTAGAATAAGGCCATATACAGCAAGTTTTTGCCCTGATGGTGTTTACTCAGTCCTTTTTTAAGTCTGAAAACAAATTTAGCAGTGATAATATGCCTTATTAGAAATCAGTCTGCGGATAATGGGACACATTTCACATCAGATACCTCAAGACAGGTGGAGAACGATATTGGAATCAGACATGGATTCGGAGCAGCCTACCATCCAGCCTCTTAAGGGCTCGTTGAACGAGTGAATCGCACCAAGAACAATTAGCAAAATTTTGTGCTGACACAAAATTGACTTGGATGGACCATCACCCTTAGTGATGCTTTTCATACAATAATCACCCACAGAGCGCATGGGATTGACCCCCTCATGAGCTTCTGACAGGAAAGAAAATGCCCTTTCCATTGACCTCCTCCATCCAGTCCAGGACTACCCCCACACTAGATGGGCAGAGGGAGGAAGTAATGGACTATGATCAACAGTTGCAGTCTGCTGTCAGGCTTTTGTCCAACAATGTAAAGGAAGCCCAGTCCAGAGAAACGGTGGGAGAGACCCCAAACAGCTGGCCTCTGGAGACTGGATATACAGGTTTTCCAGAGGGCTTGCAAGGACCCCAGGTGGATAGGACATTTCAAAGTGTCCAACCTCACAGTATAAGTGTCATGATGTTGGTTTTGTTCAAGTTTTTGTATTTAAGTTCTTAAATATTTCCTGTTTGCCGTCTTGTGTCAGTCTTCTTTTCCGTAGCTCCCTTCTTGCCCCTGTTCACACCTGCTCCCAACCTGCTGATTAGCCTGGTCTTTTTTTCTCTCTCCCATATAATCTCCTCCCGTTCAGTCACTCTTTGATGGTTTGTTGTCATTTCTTTGCCCCCTTGTTGTCATGATGGGTCTGTAGTGCATAAACCCACATGCAGAACACCACAGAAAACGGGGTAAAAGTTTAACAGTTTATTAAAGGTTGAGCACACAGAATATCAAGAGCTGGTTCTGGTACAGGTCCAGGACAGCAATCACTGAGAATCTGCAGAGATGGATTGTTTGGTTAGCCAAGCAGCGGAGAAGACTTGATTGATGTTTGATTCAGATTTGTACCTTGATGAGGTTCAGACAGATCACTGGAGAGGGGGAACCAATTGGGTCCAGAGAAAGTGGGTTCAGCAGAGAGCTCAGCAGCAGCAACGTCTAGCTTCAGACTAGAGAGTTTCAGACCTTGACTTGATGTCCTAGCTCTCCTATAAGAGCTAGCTGGGGAATCCAGACTGATTGTCTTCAGGTTTGGCTTCCTAGGGCAGGCAGGCAGGTTTCCAAGCTAGCTCCTCCTGAGCTACAGACTTCGGTCGGACTTTCCTGTGAGCAGAGAAGACAGAGGCAGGTTAGAATCTAGTTACTCTCAAGAGTAGACTCAGATTCTCAAACGTGAAACAGAGGCTCAGGTTCCGCTAACCAAAACTGGTCAACACTCCGGCGAAGAAGACAGTTGTGGCTGCTGCTTATGTAGGAGGACTCCTGATAGGCTGATGATCCCCAGGTGTGCTGGAGGCTCCAGCCCAGGAGACCCACAGCACTCTCTGCTGGAGACAGGTGGCAGATCTCCAGATCCCAACACTTGTAAGTATTCCTGGTTCCCTATTTTTGTGGATTCTAAGGATTTATGTTTTGGGATTTTTGCTTCTGTTACCCTTTTGTTATTAAACCTTTAAGTAACCACCTTAAGCTTTTGTGTCTGCATTTGGGTCCTGTCAAACCACCACCCCCACTTGAAAGTATGGGTTTGGTTGGACGAGGACCAAACTAAGGTGAGCAAGCCTTTGCATAAAACACATTGCAGGAAAAGTGAGCCGCCCTTGGAAAGGAACCTCAGAGAAATCAGAGAGCACCTGGGGTATATTAGGGAGAATGTGACAAATCAGGATGATGACGCACTGTGAAGGGAGGGCAAACGGAGGGGCCCTGGTCAAGAACCTCATCACTGTGACATGGGGATCCAGGGTGAGTATAAAGCGGGAGACCTTCAGGTATGTTGATGCTACTGTACATAGAATAAAACACGACAACCATACACCACAGATAATCTCTGGTCCATGTATCAGGGAATATAGGGGCGTGGAGTTAAGTTACACACTCTGGGGAGTTCAATAACTTTTCAGTTTGATCTCTGCAATGCCATAGATTGTGGGGTGAATCCTGGCGGGTGTATGATGTTTTCATGTGCCGTTTCAGATGGGGAGCTACATATGGGGGACAATGGTTCCCCTAGGTGGAGCTATGTGGGCTGGAACACTAGGCCCGGGGGGTACACAGCACCACAAACTGACAAGTTAAAACAGATACAGGAGCAGAACATTGGGCTGCTATGTGCCAGGCTGACCACCTCGTCAGACCGCAGCTTGATAAAGGTTAATCCCCTTTTACTCACAGTGACTGGCCTTAAGGGAAAATATGTATTACTGTGGAAGTAACCCTCTTGATAATTGTCAGTAGCAAGGGGGTCTTAAATGGTCTATTCAGGCTTAACTTGTTGGACTTACCTCAGCTTGAATCACACTCAGGAATTGATGAGCCATTATCAAATATGTTTGAGTCACGGTTTGGAAACTCAGGAAACCTTTTGGTGAGTGTATTCACTTGAACCATTATTGTAGCTGCTGTAATAGCAGTTTGTGTGTACTGTTGCGCAGTATTCGTGCTCTCATCCTCTGATGCATAGATAGAGCCACTGGCTCTCTTTATGGTAGCAAATTGGGTGCAACAGCCACCTACCAGATGCCACTGACAATATTCCATGATGTCAGAGGAGATTTTGAACGCTATGCTTTTAGGCTCGTTTTTTTTTTATCATGCATAATCACTTTTTGGGTCGTTTTTTTTTTTTTTAGACTTGTGATACACTAGGGTCCTTTCTGCAAGCACACACAGAGGATCCACCTGAGAGATCGCGTTCAGTACCTTGAGCTAGAGCAAGGTTGTTTTTTTTTACCTGAACTAATGTGGTTTTTGCACATGTACTCCAGGGTTGGGTGATTTTTCTGGGGATGGGGGCGTTGCCCAATTATGGATGCTCCCTAATCACCTGGTGCTTCAAGGGATGTATCAGTTCTTTAATTTTAGGTTACCTGTAAAAACGGTAACTTATCGGGGGGAATTGTTAGGTTTATTCTTTATTAGTCATGTGTATTACATGTTTTTATTTTCACAAATATGGGAATGATAATGAGTTTTTATGTAAACTACTTTTTTTTATAATAGGATTGAGGCCAGTGAGATATATTTAGGCATCGCCATTGGCATAACACTGACTAGTTATCGTTTTTTAAATTGCTAAATAGTTTCCCTTTATCTCACCTAACCAGAACTCATTCAAATAAAGCCTAGATTCAAAGGTAGTAACATATAAGGTTATGCAGAGATGACCACATTCTCAGTAAAGGTTGGAATCACTGAATAGGATGAGCTTGAAAAAGCTGAACCAACCCTTTTAGGTTTTCTTTGTATTTTTAGAAGCTTTGAGGAGAAAAAGACTTGCATCTGTGTGCCATGTTAGGATCTGCTTGACCACTGTGTGATCATTAACCCTGTCTGTGTACTGAACTGGCTCACAGCATTGACCTCAGTCAAGCTAATAAAGGAAATCAGACCAGGGAAAAGGTCTATAATTCCCTGCTTTAAACTTATGACAAGAAAGTTGGACAACAATTTAGTGGCAAAGAACTGATCTAAATGTAATCGATCATTGAGACTGTTGTTATTGCTGGACCGGTACACTCAGCCGAGCCTCAGGTTCAACACCCTAACTGGACTGAAACTGCATATTGAGAATAAACAGTTGCTTGTTAAGGATCCAGAATGAAAGATGACAAAAAACGGTTAAGGTCGAAGTCCTGCTTGTTTTCGTGGCCATGCTGGATTTGTTGGAATTACAATATTGCTTCTTTGCCCGGTTACTCTCAACTGTGATCACTTTGAACCTGGACCAGGAACATAGAGTGCAACACTTTAGCTGTTCAAACATGTGATGCAATGTTGTGGGAAAATTCCACTCCGGCTCTCTTAAATTCAGCTCATTATCTATAAACCACTGATGAAATATTTCATCTTGATAGTGAGGCAGGTTCAGTTCATACTAAAGAGTGTTTTCTTCACTTTTAGGTAGGATTGGAGAGAGTCTATACAGGAGTCAAGGAGTCATGAGTTTCAGTCATTTCCCCCCTCTGCCCATACCTTGACTCTTTCACAATGGGTTGAATGTACACTGTAAGGCCTCAGCCAATCAGCTCAGCAGTGAAACCACCTGATGTCTGAACTATGACTTGTGTCGTCTTCTTTCTGTCTGTTCAGTGCAGTACGATGATCTGATTTTGGATTTCTGGAAGGCTTTAAGGCATCTCTTAGAGAGTTTCTATACTATAGGGAGCTCTCATAGAAAGCCCTTCAGCTACAGGCTTCAAACTCTGATTCGAAGTCATGTCTGTAGTCAAAATCCTGTGCTTATTGCTCATCACATGTTACCTCAGTGAGGGGAAGAAAATTAGGGGAAGCAGAGCTAGTAAGTATTAATCTATCAATGTGGTGTATGTTTTTTTTATTTATTTTTTTTATTGATAAGTTGAAAATCCAAGACAGAATATAGTTATGATTTATGTTTGTACCGGAAGATGGTCTTATTTAATCCTGATTATGCATTTCATGAATAAAATAATCATGAATAATAAAGCCGAGCAGGATTGTACTTTATATACAATTTTTCTCGGTAATCCTCACATGTGGTCACTATGATTGGACGGTAAACACTGTGTTATTTATGTGATGTTTGTGGAGCTCCTGGCTTGACACTGATCCATCTTTGTCCTTACATATTCATGCCAAAATATGGAAATCAAAGTAAACAATCTGTATACTACAAAGGTCTGAATTTCAATGTTTTTATGTGTGTTCTCTCTCTCTCTCACTGAGTATAAAAGTCTCTGCTTACAAGGTCTTTTAGGTAACTTTAGATGTGACTCAAAAAGGCACTAAATTCTGTAACTCTTCTGTGAATAACAGAAGAGTTACAACCAACAGTTTTCACTATGAGGGATTTTTACTGTTGCCTTATAAAAGACAGTCTGCTGGTTTTACACTTAAAGCAGTTGTTAGGGGAAATATTTTGACTAGATTAAAATAATTAGAGCCGTCTCATTTCGCTGAGTCATCTACACTTGTCCACCAACAAATCTATCTAGCTTAATCGTAGTCAAAACAAACTGTCTAAAGCAAGCAAACAACTTTGGAGTCTCATCTTATTGCTCTATGTTGTGTGGAGATCATGGAAAAAATATTTACTGTTTCGTCACAAATACTATTTAGTTCCAAAAAAGTCATACAAACTGAACACTGCTTGTTTTTGTGAACATACTAATATTTGTGATAGGAATAAATCTCTTATACAATTTTCTATGCGTGTGGGTTTTGTTTTTTTTTCCTGAGTGGATTGATGGGGGTTTTATAATACAAGGGGTGCATTATGGTAATTAAAGTTACATACTACCTTTTTCTATACCATTTTGTGGTGTGAAAGGATGTCACAGCACAACGTAAAGTTTCTCAAAACAAAAATCAGCGTAAAAGTAAAGCTTATAACATAATTTCCCCAGGAAAGAAAATGTATTTTGTGGGATTTAAAAAGGAGAACATATTAGTCGTGCTGAGTTTTTGTTTTTGAATTAGTCGTGGGGTAATATGTATTTGATCTGAGTTGATGTTGAGCTTGTGATTAATTATGTATCTATAGTGTATTGTTTATTTTTTTTTAAAAACACATTTTGATTTGTAAGCTTATTATAAGCAAATCTGTTTAGTATTTAAAAAGGAATGAAAATGAGCAAACTCCTCCTTGAACGTGTAAATGGATAAAATGTTAAGTGATACTTTTTTTATTATTCACCTCAAAGTAAAACCAACTTTTGAAAATCCTGAGTTCACTAGAATCAAGCAGAACAAACATAATGAACAGCACTTCTTTTGATTTCTGAGGTGTAACGGCTGCAGTGGAGCGGGGCATCCTCGGGGTGAAAGAGCCATATGTCAGCAGCTCAGTTTTTAGGCTGTTTTTGGGAGATGAGGACACCTGCACGCTGGACCCTCTGCAGCTGCACACTCTCGCCTCCTGCGGCTTCAACAGCAGTAATCCCCTCATCATCATCACTCACGGGTGGTCGGTAAGGTCAACCCCTGCTTTCCGTGCACTTCACTGAACACAAAAACTCAAAACTTGACTGCGAAAGAGGAAAATTGTTCATAAGGGATTATGGACAATGATTATTAATATTTGCTCCTTTCAAAATGACTGTTGTTTTACACACAGACAGTTTCTTCATTAGAAAGCAAAATTTATAATCACCCTTGTTTGTTTTTTTTAAGGTTGATGGTATGATGGAGAGCTGGGTGCTCAAGATGGCCACCATTCTGAAGAGCAACCTTGTAGATGTTAATGTGGTGATCACCGACTGGCTGAGTCTGGCTCATCAACATTATCCCATAGCTGTGCAGGGGACCCGCACTGTGGGGAAAGACATAGCTCATCTGCTGGAATCTCTTCAGGTCACACTCCCTGAGCAATGTGCTTGAACCACATTTACAAACTAATATAATTATAATAAACAAGTGTAACCTATTTTGAACAGAGAGAGTACCAGTACCCGGTCAGAAAGGCTCATCTGATCGGATACAGCCTTGGAGCTCACATATCGGGCTTTGCTGGAAGCTTTCTGCAAGGTTCAGATAAGATTGGGAGGATCACTGGTGAGTTTTATTTTTACTATTTTTCTTCTAACAGATCAAGTCAGTTAGTATAAAAGATTGAGAAAAAGAAATGCAAGAATAAAATAAAGGCATAGCATTGCAGAACAATTAAAAACATTTTTTGGAACTCATCTTTGTTTTGGAGAGAGCAAACATCTAGCAGAGGTCAGTAGAAGTTTTGGACGCAGCAATTTGGTGGGGATCATCACTCTGAAAAAGAATTTGTGTAAGAAAAAAAAACAAAAAAACATTTAAGTGATACGTTTCCAAATGCTGCTAAACTAAAGGAATTTTAATCTGCATTTGATCGTTTCCAGAGCTCAAAATATGAAATAAAAACAGTGACTTTGAAAGTTAGCTTTAATTTTTGTAATTGGTCAGAATCTCTGTTGAAAAAGAAAAACATTCTAATGAGCCACTTTTTTTGGCTACATAAAGGTAGGGCTGCAACTAACAATTATTTTGCAAATCGATTGACCTGTCGATTTTTTTCCCAGATGAATCGATTGATGATCTGATTGCAAAAGGTTCCTTAAAGAAGAATTTTCACGAAATTAAACTATTTGAAACTTAAACTTTTCCACTTGAGAGGTTCTTGGTAGAACACATTGACAGACAAAAACATTTTTTTTTTATCTTAGATGCAAAATTATTTAAATAATTGCAATAAATCCGATTAATTGTTTCAGCCCTCATTTGGTGCATGCTATGTTCAAGAGGAACCTGGAGGTTAAATATTTCAGCATTTAGGAGAGGAACTCTGCAAAAGACTGATCTAATGATGATATTAGAGTTATGTCAGTAATGATTAAATACAGAATAATACATTAACCACACCTAGTTGGGCCAAAGTGCTGTAAAATATACCGTAAGGAACAATAACACACAAAAAATTTAAAAGTATTTCACATAGTCATAACAAGTCAACAAAATCAAATCTGCATCAGGTTTGTTTTCTAAGAGATAATTCAGATTTTAATTCATTCATATTTTGATACAGTCCCAGTGTGTCTGAGAAAAACCACTGCAAGTTGAAGAATTTTTACCTCAGATCTGAGCTCCTGTGTGTCCAATAAAGATTTGACAAATAAAATCCTTAACAATGCAAATCAGTGTTAAAGAATGCGTTGATCCAAGGCATCAAAATGCACATGGATAACAGAAACCTGTATCTACAAGCAGCTAAGAAGATTCAAAGTTTATAATCATATTTTCAGAAATAAAATAGGGCTTTGATGTTTAAAAAAAAAGTCCTGACGGGCTGATTGACAAAATAAGGAAGAGGACAACTTTGAAACAGCTAAAAAATAAGTATTTGTCTTAATACCAACCCTCTTTAAGAAAAAAACTTTCCTTTTTATGTATATTAATTATGAATTATTGTAAAAGAAATCGGTTTTGGTTCAACTTTTTTATTTTTAGAAGTCATAATATTTTTGCTTAAAGCCCTTTTTCTCTCTACATAGGCCTCGATCCGGCAGGGCCGCTATTTGAGGGCATGTCTCCCACAGACAGGCTTTCCCCTGATGATGCAGAATTTGTAGACGCCATCCACACCTTCACCCATGAACGTCTGGGTCTCAGTGTGGGCATCAAGCAAGCTGTGGCACATTATGACTTCTATCCCAATGGAGGAGACTTCCAGCCTGGATGCGACTTTCATAATGTTTATGAACACATCAGTGAATACGGGATTCATGGTATGACGAAACATTTAAAAAAAGACCACTTATGATGTACTTATTGTCTCAGATTCATGAAATGCAGAAGGTTAGATGGTCCACTGTTGTTTCACATTCCAAATGCTAAAGCCTTTATTCCTTTCAACACAATAGTGTTGCTGCAATAAAGAGAAAAATTGCATTTATTTACAGAGTCTTGCAAAAGTATTCAAATCTTTCTGACTTTTCAATGTTCATATGTTTAGAGCCTGATCTTCAAAGATTTGAATAACAGGCCTAAAATTGTACATGGAATAATTTTGTTGTAGATGCAAGAAGAATGTACAATAGAATTTTAAGACATGCAAACAGTGTTGGTTCCACTGTATTAAAATAAGCAGATTGCATGTAATAATCCTAAGTATCAGAGTGGCCGTAAAAGACAGATGAGGTCATGGAGATGGAAGTAGCAGTGATCATTATCTAAGAAATAGAAAATGATGTTACTAAATATCTTTTGTCGCACATCTCACATAGGCAGCCCATCCCTGCCCAAAACAGGAGCAACAGTCAGTTATACAGCAGACAAGAATGAGGAAGCCCTGTAACAATTTAATAAAACATAACAATGAATGGGGAGGGGGGGAATCACTGTTGCAAGAGTAATGGATGTGCACTTCCACCGTCCCAAATGTCTTTGAAAGCTCTTTTAATATTCTATTACTTATGAAGGTGCCACCATATTTAATTTCAGTCTTTTTCTTTTATTTGCTTTATACATTATATAAGGATTGTCTGCCATCCCGCTGCATCACTGTTTAGATGTTTTGTTTAAATGTTTTTTACTTTATTAATATTATTCTACTATTGTTATTTCTGGTGGTCCAAATATGATTACATGCACACAGAATCTCTCTTCATCCTTATTGTACCAATATAGTTCCTCCTTTGTGGCCAAAATGTGTGCAGATTTTTTTTCGCGAATTTGCACCTAACATTTTGTAGTGCAAAAAATACATAAAAAACTCCAAGTGCAGTTATTTAAATTTTTGAAAGATGCTTTGGGCTTGTTAAATGTGTATATCGGCATATCATCCACCCATAAATCTGTGCAGTTTGGTCATCAGATTATGACCTACACATTGATGATGGTACACGTGCAATGAAGGGTTACCACATGCTGTCTGCTGAATTGCAAAAGCAAATGACTTTGGGCCTTTTTTTGGAGATCTGCTGTGTACATACTAAAATTGTTTTAAGATGGGCCAACCCTCTGCAGATCAGGCCCTTAATTTGATAGATTAACACCAAGCAGTGCATATGCAGAGCAAGATACTACTGCATGATTTGCAGCTTGGACTTTAACTGTTAGTAAAACAAAAATAAAGAATTTGAATTCCAATAATCAATCTATATCAACTTTTAAGAGACACAGTACTTTTCTGTGATCACTGTTCAAAAGAAACAACACTAAGATGTATTAATATGTTAGTCTCTGGTTAAAAAAAATGCTGTGGGAGGATAACTTAAGAAATGAATTCAACTGTATTTTTTTTTTTATATCTGAATAGGTGGAAGGAACTTGATTCCATGTATCTTTACATGTTTAAATAATGCCTTATCTTGATGTGGCACATTTTGTTTAGATTTTTTTAAATTAAAGTCCAAAAGCATATTCTAGAACCAACTTGAATGTATGTGTATTTGGAGCAATTCAGCCAACACAGAGTTCTTGTCAGTCTATATTTAACCATCTGATCCCTTAATTTGTTATTTTCAGTCCATTAAAGTTTAAAAGTGTTTAGCTGCTTTAAAGCTTTTCTAGTTTGCTGCTCTCTATGCTCTCTCATAACATATTAATCCCTTAATTGCTCTTTCCATATCAAAACATTTGTGGTTTGGAAGCCACATCTCGGGCAGCGGTTTATCTTCTCGCTTGTTGACAGTTTAATTTTTATGCATTTAATTCCCTGCGGTCAAAGAGACTTGGTTCTGGAAACTGCAGTGCCCCTCAATTGAAAACACATCTGCGTAATTTGACAGGGATAGCCACTTTAAAGCTTGTGTCATCCTTAGCCGTTAACTGGTGACATATGCTACCTTCTGCCTCGTCCATTCCTCTGACCTGAGCTTCCTCCAGGCAATAACCGGAGGAATTAGCCAGAGGATGTGACAAAAATTATAGAATAAAGGGAAGATAAATACTCAAACACAAGCAATAAGTTGTTTCATGATCTGGATAACAAAAAGTGATACCGGTACATCTCATATTTCTGCTTCCACACAGGCTTTGGGCAGACGGTCAAATGTGCTCATGAGCGCTCTGTCCACCTGTTCATGGACTCTCTGCTGAATAAGGACAAGCAGAGCATGGCCTACAGGTGCAGCGACAACAGTGCTTTCGTCCGCGGGATCTGCTTGGACTGCAGGAAGAACCGCTGCAACACGTTGGGCTATAACATTAAGAAGATCCGCACTGTAAGAAGCAAGAAGCTTTACTTGAAAACAAGATCTCGGATGCCTTACAAACGTGCGTAAGAACCCCTTTATACAAGATGAAAATAAGATGCAATGGCAGACTGGGTCAAACTAATGACCTTTAATTCCACTTCTATAATCATTAACTTACTCTGACCAAAGAGACTGCTTGTTTATATTATGCCTTAAAAAGGTTTTGATACATTTTGAGGATTTCCATATTTAAACATGCAACCACAAACTCCATCATCTAAATTGGATTTTGTAAGACTGAACAAAAACTAAATAGTGCATAATTGTTACACGGAGTGGAAAATGATGCATGGTTTTCTTTGTCTCTTTTAAATCTTTAAAATGTGATGTTCATTTGCACTTAGCCCCTAATCTGATACCCTTAAACAAAAACAATTCAGTGCAACCACATTAATTCAAAGTTCATCCGTTTTATATTTAACCTCAGCATAAATACACCTGTTCTGATGATGGATCAGTACCAATTATTTTCTGCAATTACAGCAAATAGTCTTTTGGGGTTTCCCTCTAAGCTTTGCACATACTGCATTGAGACGGACATTTTTGCCCTTCAGGAATGATTCAATAGAGGGCATTTTAACACATCAATGTGTTGCTGCTGATGCTCAAAAACATTTAGGTCTGCTGTTGGACTGGGTCGTTGCAACACTTGTATATGGTTAAACTAAACTATTCCAGTACATGCTACATATTTAGGGTTGCTCCCCTGCTAAAAAGATGAACATCCACCCGGGTGTAATGTGTTTGGAACGTCTGATAGGTTTTGCTCCTTTTTTAACTTGACCTATCATCTTATCAGCTCTGAGTAGCTTCCTTGTACCATTATAGGAAAAGCACTTGCACAGCATGACTATGCCATTACCGTGCTTCATAGTAGGAATGCTATGTTCATATTGATGTTCAGTGACTAATTCTTCTGAAACACATTAACTCCATATTTGCAGTTGACTTGTTGACAGTTTCTCCTCTTTAGCTGCTTTACAGTAACCAAATGGCTTTTCTTTTTAAAGCCCTTCTTGTCTGCCATATCATTCTATGCGGGTGCCAATGTTTTACCATTATGGCATATTCTCTCCATTTTTAGAATATAAATTGTTTTCTGCAACACATTCAAAGTGTAGGGTTTAGATTTATAAACTAATTCTACTTCGAAATTTAGTCACAACTATCTCCGACCTGTCATGTGTTCCTTAGTCTTCATGATACAGGTCGTTTATTAATATTCTCCAATAAATCACTGCGGGATTCATAGAAATAAGGCACATTAGGCCTCCATTAATTAATTAGGTTACTTTTGTTGTATATTGGGGTATGGAAGTAAATTGTACTTGAACACATGAACATACCATCTTTAAATGTGTTAAATTTTGGAAAAAGCTATTTTTTTTATCACCATCCAATAATACACTACTTTGTGTGGTCACCATATTAAATGTGAAAATGTTTAGGAATTCTGACTGCTTTGGAAAGTCGCTGTGCTTTAAAGAAAATTAACTTGGACTTAGACAAACTTTATTGTCATTTTGTTTGCACAGAGCATATACCAAACAAAATTCTGTTGCATACATCTTACAACAGTGAAACAATGAAATGAACATTACCATTCAGAAAGTGCAGCAGTGATCAGAATGTAAACAGTGCTGGACAGAAAAAAAAAAAAACAGTTTAAAAATAATGGTGCCAAAGGCATTAATATGAAAAGGTTCAGTGCAGTGCAAAACAAATATGGTTCAAAATGGTCTGGAACACTTAGGTAACTGATTGCTGTGCTGTTGTACCATCAGAAATTAATACCAATTTGGTTTGTCTGCTTCTCTGCAGTCTATCATTACCAGTTCAGGATCCAGTTTGTCAATCAGACAGAGAGAACCAAGCCGTCTCTCACCATCTCCCTTCAAGGAACCAGAGATGAGAGTGGAGACCTGATCATCACAATGTGAGTACTATGGCAGATATATAATACAGTCTATAGGCTCTAAGCTGACTGCAGATAAAACGAGTTAACAAGCGAATAAACATGGCCACAAACCAGCTTCTACATAAAGAAAACCATAAATAAAAAGAAAGTGAATTATTCAAAGATGACCTGGGAGATATTTCATAAAACATGCTTATAGATTAAATACTTAAGTTGCCAAACTTCATCATTATACACCTTGTTTGCAGGAATGTTATCAGGAAAAAAAATGAAAAGGCGAAATGTTGCACTCACCAAAATGAACACATTTTCCCTCAGATTTGATTCTTTCAGTAGTAACACCAGCAGTGAGATACCCACCCTGCAACAGCTGAAAATGAAAACTAAGTAGAAAAACCTAATGCTCTGTAAGCTCTGATTAATTCCACTGTCTTTATTTTAACAAGGCAACAAAAAGAGTTACCTGTGTCTAACATGTACTTAAATATATTTAATATTTAGAAAATTAAGCTGAAATTAACTGACAAATGAATTCTCATAGTCTGCAAACCCCCTGGAATGTCCTTGCAAACCTCACTCCATTGTAAAAAAGAAATAACTGTAAAGATTACAAACAAAACTTTAGAACAGCTGGACTACATTTTTTTTTCCATTTTGGGATACAGGATTTCCTAATGCTATTTTTGAGCTAGGCTGCATACACAATAAGAAAAACAGCCCCATTAACTGAAAAAAAGCAGCCACTTTTGACAATTACTTAATGATATTTAGTAACTTTATCACAATTGTTTTAAGCCCTACCCTGCTAACATGAAACAATTGTGTTAAAATAACTAAATATGCTTGATTAAATGCAAAAAAACGGTTGCATTATTTTTTTCAGTGTTCAAGAAAGTGGCTTTGTTAACAGAAAACCCAGCGTTCAGGTAGGAGATGGTTATGGTTAGGCCTACAGTCAAATAAATCATTTAACCATTTGAATTAAATTACATGAACACATCTTATTATTTAAGATGATCCGGGATGCTGAATGCATCTTTAGCAACGTGTCCTCTGTCTCTCTGCATGACTAACCCTAACCTGCTCCTCCCTGGATCCATTCTAAAACAGCTCATGTGTGGCTTCATTGCTTATGTTGGATTTCTGAATTCAGTTTTTGTGAAACAGGCCTCCAGTTTATGAGCTAAGCCAGTTTTATGAAACATCACTCAGATTTGACTGATAGAGCTGAGTTTATGTTGTGTGCATCAAAGAGCTTCAAAAAAACAGTCAGCAAATAATTTCAATCTGCAGTCCTGCTTTAGCTATGGATCATCACAGCAAGCTTTTACTCCATGACCACAAAAGAATGATTATACTACACATTTGTCCTGTTTTTTTTTTTTTTTTTTGCTGGCAGAGATGAAGGGATTTATGGAAACACAACCTTCACCTTCCTGATCACGCTGGACAAAGACCTAGGGGAGCTGATGATGCTGAAGCTGAGGTGGGAGGCGTCTAATCTGTGGAAGAACATGTGGACTCGCATGAAAAACATCTTTCCTTGGGGCAACCAGGGGAGTAAACCTCAGCTGATGTTGGGAAAAATCAGCGTCAAAGCAGGAGAAACACAGGACAGGTATGGCACACTTCATTCTACTACAAGTTCAACACATTTATCATTTTTCTGACATAAAACTCAAACGAGTTAAGACAAAAACAATCTTTATTTAGGCGTAATTTTGACCTCTGTCATATTCATTTCGACAGCAATTTATTTTGATTTTGTAATTTTTTTTTAGCATCAGAATGAACAGATATGCTAATTTTACTAATTTTATATTTATTTAAAGGCAGTAAATTGACCCCATTGTGGGACAAAAACAGGGATTTTCTATTCTTTTAACCCCAGAAATTGTATCTCCAAAAATGTTCAAATTATGCTTTTATCTAAAATGTGATGGTTGCATAAAGAAATTCTCAGTTTAGCCCCTAAACTATTTTGATTAAATAAAATTGTCTACTTATTGTCTCCATGAAACTGGGCAAACCTCTCAAACATGAAATGTAAACTTTAGCACATATTGCTTCGGAGCCTATGTAAAACAAAAATTACACACCCTATGGGCACCAGTGGTTCCTCTCAACATTAAAGGTGTTCATCTTTACCGTCCACAATAAGGCAGACAATTTTCTACTTAGTTGTCATGAAACTGCATTTATAATATCTGAAAATAAATATCTGGTGTTGCTGTACTACTCAGGACGCATGGCATGTATTTATAACCCTACTTAATGTAAGCTATTGGTAGTTTGTGTGATGGACCAACACTAATAGCTGCAACTGGAAATAAAAATCAACCAGCTGTCATCAGAAGGCACCTATAGAATACACTGTTATAAAGGCCTCAGAGAGCAGGGTAATGAACACACAGCATCATGAAAACCAATGAAGAGGTCAGAAGTTTTAAGTAGAACATCTCCACCTCTAAGCATCATACAGAATACCATCCATCCATTTTCCATCATGCTTGTCCCGAGTGGGGTCACGAGGGGTGCTGGTGCCCATCTCCAGCCGTCTACAGGCTAGAGGCTGGGTACACCCTGGACAGGTCGCCAGTCCATCGCAGGGCAACACAGAGACAAACAACCATTCGGGCAAAAATGCACCTTTATTTAGAGAAGCCAATTAACCTAACAGTCATGTTTTTGGACTGTGGGAGGAAGCCAGAGTACCTGGAGAGAACCCATGCATGCGGAGGGAGAACATTCACTCTCCATGCAGAACTCTGGGAATTGAACCCGGAACCTCCTTGCTGCAAGGCAGCAGTGCTACCCACTGTTCCACTGAGCAGCCCTCATATAGAATTATGTCAGTCAATCATTTAAATATGAAGGATTTGAAACAATTTAACTTACCAAGATATGTTTTATACAAAAAAGCTGATAGAAACAAGACATCACTGTTGCAAAGCCTCAATAAGTCCAGTTTGCCCCAAACCATAGAGAGCATTCACCCATGCAGAAAAAGTTATTTTTTTAGACACCCAAAACAGCATGTGTAGTTGAAAGCCAACATCCTGAAGAACCAATTCCCACGTTGAAACATGCACAATGGCAGCATTGTCCTGTGGTGATGCTTTTCACCATGACAGAAAGGCTGGTGAGAGGTGATAGGGAAATTAAATCAAGCTATAATCGAGCAGAAAGTAAACCTGTAACATGTTGCTAAACACTTGACAGAAAAACAAGACGTCAGACCTAACAAACAGCGACAGATAGAGAAGATTGAATGAATTAATTTAGCCATTCAGGTATTTGAATGGCTAAATTTATCCATCTGATGGAAGCAAAATTCTTTCAGTCATTTTTATCCTTTGAAACACTATGAATGTATAATTTTTAAAAATAAAACTTTGTTGTTCTATAACAAAGTCCTAATACAATGTGCATTACCGTCTTGCAAAAAGTGTAAATAAGGGGAGAAGGTATGATTGCATAACAATGTAGTTTGAAAATTATTTCAAATAGTTCAAAATAGTATTTTAAGCCCATTTGCACCAAAACCCTCCCATAGAATTTAACATAACCTTTCCTTTGATTAGAATAGTTCAGTGCCTGATGTTTGGTGGTATTACTAATTAATTGCAATTCATGACAGTCAGCCATGAGGATAATCATTACTCAAATAAAAGGGAATAAAACATAACTTTCTAATACATGCATGGTGTTGTCAAATGTTATAATAATCTGATCTTTATACATTGGTTTTGCTGCATTTGCAGGAAGAGAGAAAAGCACCCTATCATTAAAGGGTTTTGTCGCCATCTAGTGGACAGTTCAATTTACACATCTGAAAATCTGAGCCTGCAGTTTAACCAAACTCTTTATTTTTGTTGTAGGACGTCATTTTGTGCCATGAATAATGATGGACAACAAATTGAAGTTTCTCAAGATAAAGTGTTTGTGCGCTGCAAGAAAGAAGATCCAACGCTCCGCAGAAGAAAGTACAATAGAAAGGTTGAAATGAATTAAAATGTTCAAGAGACTAATTGTGGTAATGCTCTCTATTGCAACCTTTTCATGGGGGTTTTATCCAAACTAAGAATTTGTAAAATACAAAAAGTGTAAAAAACGGAAAGTATTGGAAAGAAATTACTATGTTTGCCGTAAAAGTTAAAAACAAACACCTGCAACTGTTCACAATAAAACTGTGATCATTGATGGGCTTAAATTATTAAAGTACATCTTTCAGCTTATAAAACTGAGGTGTTTCTTGTTAAATTTTTAAGATTAAATCTTAATTTAAAACCACAAACTAAACTGCAAGTCCCTTTTATATCTACTTCAGAAGATACCAATATGTTAGTTGTTATTTTTGTCAAATTATTAATCAGCAATATAAGTATAATTACATCCAGGGCTGTTTCATAAAGGACTAACATGCTCTGAGTAGAAAGTATCTCCTCTGGCTGGACCTACTGAATCATGTCATAACCAGGGTTGTCAGATCCAGAGAAAGTGTAACTAACCCAGAGGTAAGAATGAGCATATAAGAAGTCCTAATCAATAGAATGCAGTAAAACCATTCACTATTGGAGAGAAGAAGCCTTGAAGAGACAATTTCTCATCAAAAAGATTGGAAATCTTAATGATGGCATATGAAGAAAATCAACACATTAACACAAATAAAAGCTTCATATCAAGAGGTAAACCTTGTTGCATCACTTATTAGCAGACATGCAGCTGAAACGGAAATATTTTTTTCCTTTCCCTGAAGGTCCCTCTGTAATAGCTGCATGGTATTTATGACACATGTGGACGTGTAAAATCAAAGTTAGTCCAAATAGTATACCCGTACCCATAGCAACCATAAATTGTTTTCTTTCTTTTTTTACACTTTTATATCTAAAGCTGAAATAATACTTCAACTACCTCAGCAACTACCTGCTGAGGTGAAAAGGAGGCACCAGGGATTCAGAGCAGGAGCCAGAAGAAGAGAGAGGAACAGGAAATTTAAGCCATCTCTTCCAGGTTTAGGATTCTACCCTAAGTCACATGTTCAAATAGGCTATTGTATATGTAATAGTAGAGAATAAATCACCCATCTTGCTAATGCACTTTTCCTATAGTATTAAAGAAAAAAGAATAACTAGTTAATAAGTGGTTGCTCCTTCAATTCCACCCAACATTAGACCAATCTCATCTTTTCCTGTAGGTCCTCATTATTTCTACTTGTCTACTTTTTCTCTCCATCCTTATAGTGGAATAGAAATTGTGTTTTATGGTTTAAATATACATCAAAACAGTCAAATCATGTGTAAAAAGATTTAAAAAAATAAATAAATAAAAAAACACCTAGTCCCCTAGGGGCCCTAAAAACTGGCTTGACCCCGTCAGCTAGTCCAAACCCTGAGAATTCATGTGCAGAGAAAGAGAATTTGAAATCTAAAAATGTAATATCAGCTAAATCAGTGCTTTCACTTACATCTGGAATTCTGTGACATTTTTTCTATATATTATCGTGTAGCTCTGTGACTAAGGAAATCAAATGATAACATTCCTGAAAGCACAGCATAAAAGGTGTCTTTGAGAGATTTTATTTGGTCAAATTTTATACAAAAAAAGTGACTTTGACATAAAATAAAATGCAGCACACATAATCTGTCCTTGTGTCATGAGTGACTGAGAAAAATTGACTGTGACAAATAGATTACAGAATTATCCTGAGGTGGATTTCTGGACTATTTACGTTTAACACTTCAAGACACTTTCCTAGTGCCAGGCCTCAGTTAACAATTAGGACAGACCCAGCATCAGTTCATTAAACCCTGCAACTACGTAGGGTTGGTTCACGGAGTATGTAGCACCGTAGCAACATAACACATGGTAACGACTACCTGAATTCTTTATATTGGATACCAAGGTTATGCAGATACTTACCCAAGAACTATCCCTGCTTTGTGAAAAAGACCCCAAATATCAGATCTATGCTCTTATGTTTTTCTTATATGCATTTCAGGAACCAGTTAGGGTCAGAAGTTACCATCCACCAAAATGTCAGCTTAGGGCCCTTCAATTATTTATTTGTAAAGGTTTTTTTTTTTAATTATTATTATTGTTGTGCAACTTGAGTTTTTTGTAAGGATAGGAAATAAGTGGAGAAAAAAAATCTGATTTATTTACTTTCCTTTATTTCACAGCGTAAAAAATATATACACACCTCCAATAACACATCTTGTGTAGACAGCTCCTGGTATAATTCTGCATGGATATTTGAACATTCTTTCAAAAGTGGTAGAGTTTGCTAAAACTGTTAGCTTCCAAGACCTTGCCTGCTTTATTCATTCCCAAAACATTTTTCAATAGTTTGGTATCACCTTTTTGTAAGAATAAGTAGTTTGGTCCAGGTTTTAAACAAGAAGCTGCAAATTAAATGTGAAGTTTAAGAATTTAGAGGTTGCTCTCCTCTTTTATCCACATTTCGCAATGCAACATTTATAGAAAGCTTAGCAGTCAGTGTATGATAAACTCTCACAGTAAACACAGAAATCAGGTTGAAAATGTTAACAGAGGTAAAAGCTTCACAAGTGATTTAATAGGTCTGCATATTATTACTGGAACACAGACACCCGCCCATCTGTGCTGATCTGTGAACACTTCTCTAATTTGAAGACCATGAATACAGTATATTGGCACAGTATATATTATCTCTATCACTGACAGACCAATAAAAAGTCAATTTTTTCAGTTCTAATTTATTACAGTAAATTGATGTGGTTTGAGCAAAATAAGCCAAAGCAGGCAAACAATAAACAAAAAGAACAAACAGAAACGTGGTATAAAAACACAAGAGGCATTAAAATCTATTATAGAAGTTCTGAGTTCTACTTTGTCAGCGTATGCATTCACCTCACAAATAAACATATATCCCAAAGCATAGACCCCCTGATGACTGCCTATATTATACTGCTTTAATTAGAACATAAAAAATTAAAATAAAATAAAAAAACACACCCATAAATTTTATTAGAAAAAAAAAAAAACACCATCAGCACCAAAATCAAAATGGTTTTTTGTCTACTTGAAAGCTTTTCTTCAGTAACTGTGCTGCTGTTTGGACTACTAGATACCTCTGATGAGGCCAGCTTCATCACCGATGAGCTCTGATACTCTGCATAGATGGATTAGTGAGAAGCTGACACTTTGCATACAGAAAGACAAACTTTGGTTTGCAGCACCATACCCTATAGCAAAGGTTTTAATCCAGATCCCCACCTTAAATCAAGAACTTTTACCTGATACATTTGTATCTCTAATCGAAAATTCTGAATTTCAATGCCCTTATTAATGTCTTGAAAGGTGATAGTGACATTTGGACTTGGGTTTTAAAAGTCAAGAGAATCTGTAAATCTATAGGTTTCCTAATCAAAAAGCTAGTTCAAAATGTGCCTGTATAACACATTCCAGGTACACAAATAAACCACATAATGTCAAATATAGCAGTCATCCACAATTTTTACCCAATTTTAGTCATGCTGCTTAACAAAGGCACTTTTAAAGCAGATGCCAAGATGGCGCAGAAAAGCACAATAAAACTTCTCAGTGGAAAACCCAGAGTAAATCAAAAAGACCATTAGCAGAAGACATAGTGATTGTTCTCTCATAAGATCATTAAGAGCAGCAGTAGAGCAAATAAAAACTAGACCCCTCCCTCAGTAAGACTCAGTTCTTCCATGTATACAGTCACCTGCAATAAATTTCACTAAAATAAAAACCTCCACTTACATTCAAACCAACAGAGTTCTTTCACAGGCTGTTGAGGCTGAGCGCTGAACCTACTGGTTTCAGGTGGTTATATTTGGGCCTTTTCCTTAAAAGCTGTCCAGTTTGCTAGAGAATGAGTCAAGGCGTGGTACAATCTATCAAATAAAAATGAGGCTTTGGTTCTGTGTACAAAAGCAAAACCACCTCACAGATGTTTAAACTCTGCTTCTTTGGGTTAGAGGTGACTCCATAATTTCACAAGAATCAGTCAGGAGTCTTCTCATGCAACCTGTCTTGTACATCATACCAGTGTAAAATACAGAATTCACCCTGAAACATGCATGCATCCATTCTTACACTGGAGCCGTATTCATATAGTAATCCTGAGAAAGTGAATTAGAACAGTAGACAACCTTGACCCTTAAGAAATTACTTTTCCTCTGAAATAAGTGGGAAACACTTACCTCATGCAATTAAGATGTTTGCCTAAAAAAAAGAATCAAAGGTTGTTCTGAAAGTATTTGGGTTGAAAACAAATCCTCCAACATTAATGTCAACAGAATAGTTTTAACTATAAGCTAGAACTGATGTACTGACATTAAGCTGCCATCGTACTGATGGGGGGGATCTTAGAGAAGAGGTGCAGGCTGGGAAAAGGAAAAAATAAAAAATAAAAGCAAGGCCACACTCACAAAAGCACATTTCTCTCATCCATTCTAATAAAATATCAGGAAATAAATTTTCAAAGACAAAAAAAAGAAAGATTAGAAAGGCCAAATGGAAAAACCAAACATGCAAACTTCCCCAGGACTGTTGTTGAAAGATTTGTTTCTTATAAAAGCTTTGTGAACCATTATTAATATGGCTCTGGGGGTAGAGGTGGGGAAAGTCTGCCGCCCCAACAATAAAACATCTTCAGTTCAAAAGTCTTTTAAATTTACATTACATGGTAAAGGTAACTCTTTGGAGTAAAGTGCTCCTGTTGTAGGCACTAAGAACAAAGGCAAAGAGCAGAGCAGCATCCTAGTGCCTGTACTGTCTCATCGGGACCTGTTCTTGATTGTGATGCTGAGCGGGGCGCCGTTCTTGGCCACGAGGAGCTCTGTTTCTTCTCAGAGTGCCTGAAAGATATTTATATCTCAGTGTCAATATATATGGATTTAACAACAAAATGTGAAACAGCAAACATGTAGCAGAAATATTTTGGCAAAAAATGGACTCTTATAATCAGAAGCTTAAAGGAGAATTCCGGTTTTTAACACTTTTAGCCCATTTTCTGTAGTGTCCAGGATGAAATCGAATGATCGACACCAAAATTTTGACAATTGGTCCTGTCTCTGCTTTTTGGCTCATGCAGAATCCCCCCCTGGCTGCTTCAGAATGGCTTCCATTGTGCATGTCCGATAATGTCCTTAAAACAACCTTAAACGTTCTTTTTTTAAAATATGCT